CCTCTCCTGAAGCAGAGGGAGGGACTTTTTCTAAAGTTCCTATATCTGACTAAGGGAAGCTCCTCCAGAAGGAAGCAACTGACTTGAGCCCCACTCCCTATAATCTCATCAAACAGGTAAGACTGACTCGCAGGAAGGAAGGTTAGAGTTGACGCCACACCCAGAGCCCGGAGGAAGTTTGTTCCAGGTTATTATCTGAGTATATAAACTTCTATTGCTATAGCACATTGGGTTATTGGGTACTCACTTTCCTGTGATGCCCCATGCACTTGATAAGTCTATATGCCTTTTCTCCAGTTAATCAGTCTATTAGTTCATTTTGAAGACTCAAACCTCAGCAGGGGAGAGAAGGAGTTCTCTTGCCCCAGTAAGGTCATTCACATCTTTTGGGGACCATATCCATATAACTGAGGCCAGAATGTGTGAAAAATTCATCAGGAGATTTACGAGGAATGAATGCAAGTTGTAGAATCTGGGAACAGTCCATGGTTTGGTCACAGTGTCCAGGCTCAGCCTCCTCACTCTAGTTCATAGAACCACCTGGAACACACAAAGGCTGTGTGTGCATTAATCATTTACTCTATCATGTTTCTTTCTTGAACAGGGCTGAATTTTTACCTGCCTGATGTCTTTTTCTGTCTGTTTTTGTGATTGCTGGCTCCTCCAACTGTGTCCCAGACAGATTCATTGACTTCGTTTCTAAATCTGCTCTTCTTCCCCATATCACTAGTTGTGTTAATGGCTTTGCCGTCTTCCTAGAGCCAGATTTCAACCTCATTCTTTACCTCATCTAACATACAATTATTTACTAAATCCTGGGGATTCCATTTCCATGGGAGCTTTTCAATCTATCCTTTCTTCTCTATTCCTAGTGCTATTCTCTTATTTCAGGCCTCGAGTGGCTTTTCATGGATTATGAAATAGTCTTTCTAAATGACCCCCTAGCCAGTCTCCATGGCTTGTTTTTCCTCTGCTGTCAAGGGTCACACAGAAGCAGCTATTCTTATGGAGCACTCTGAGTAGGTAATACCCTTAACCCTCAAACCACTCCCTGAGCTGCACTGAGCCAAGTGCAAGCCAGAGGGCAGAGGTTCATATTCACAACCTACAAAAAAATACCAAGACATCATCGAAAATCAAATCCACTAGAAACTTTTGTATATGTTTCAAAGGAAGGAGAGGACTCAGATTAGCCGCAGGGTCCTGTGTGGCTGGGTGGAATATTGACACTTCCTGGGACAGTGGAGGAAAGGCTAGGAGTCATTGCCTGACTCAGTGCTCAGCCTCTCCTTTAAAAAATGTGATTATTTAAAGAATAAGAAATATTTAAAGAATCTCTGATTGAAGGGGTGCCACCTTATTGCATGTCTGAAAATCCACCTGTCTGATCCCATTCTTCAGATGAAGCAACTGAGGCTCAGAGGATTTAAGTAATTTGCCTGAGGTCATGTAGACAGTAAGTGGCAGAACTGGAATTCTGTTTTAGGAATTCAAAGTTTCATATTCTTTCCACTGTTTGACCCAGTTTCATCCACGTTTGCAACTTTGTTTTCCATTCTTTTATTTTTATCTTAATGTTGCAGTAAAACTAAATTCCTCACTCTTTTTTGCTGGACTTGGAACTTTTCCACCTTTATATCTTTTCTCATGTGGTTCCCTCTGCCTAGAATGGCCCAGAACCTGTCTAAGCCGTGAAAATTGTACCCTTGAAAATCCAGCACCAACAGCATTGCTTCCAGGAAGGGAACAGCCAGTTTCTCTCTGACTTTATCGCACCCCTTTCATAAGAACTCATAGAATCACATTGGGCCCACCGGCCCACAAAGATCCCTACTTTGTTTTTTTTTGTTTGTTTGTTTTTTTGTGTGTGTGTTTCAAACAAACTTTATTAATTCAAAAACAGCAGTAGCCAAATCTCACAGCTCAGTTCCTCGTTTACTGAGTACCACCTAAAGTAAAGAAAATAGTCCTCTTGCTTTCTATTTCTAATTGCAATCATTACTCCTCCACTGTCATATAAAACCACTTTATTTGAGGCGTGTATCATCCAAGCTGTGATACCGTCTATTCTTCTTTAATATAATGACCTCCTGGTTATCCCAGGAGAATAAAAGACATTGACAAGTGTTTGTAACATGATTATGTTTGGGAAAAGATTCTCCTCTTAAGATCCCTACTTTGAAGTGATAAACACTAGCAGCAGCTCATAGCTTGTTTATGGCTATTTCCAGTTTGTGCCTTTCATTATAGATAGTTACGCATAGGTCTTCCTCTTTTAGTGAATACATTGTCCATGAGGAAAGAGCTGTGTTTGATTCATCTTTATGCCTCCCATAGAGTCTTGCCCATGAGAGGCACTCAAAATACGTGTGGACTAAAGAAGCAAGTAAAGAGAAGAAATACTTTGTCCAGAATTGTCTATTTCTTTCCGGTGTGGTCTGAATGTGTTTCCCCAAGTTCATGTTAAAGCTTAATCACCAGTGTGATAGTATTAAGACGACAGGCCTAAGTCCTGAGAGCAGAGCCTTCCTGGATGGAATTAGGGTCCTTACAAAAGAGCTTGAGGGAGTGTTTGTTCTCTTCTGTTCTTCTGCCGTGAGGATGCAGCATTCACCCCTCTTTTTGCCCTTCTGTCCCTCCCACCATGTCAGGACACAGTGTTTAAGGTACCTCCCTGGAAGCAGAGAGCAGGCCCTTTCCAGCCACCAAACCTGCTGGCACCTTGATCTTGCACTTCCCAGCCTCCAGAACTGTGAGAAATACATTTTTTATTGTTTACAAATGACCCAGTCTCAGGTATTCTGTTATAGTGGCATAAACAGACGAAGATATTCTCTAATTACAAAGGATTTGCCAAGGATAATATTAAAGCCAGAGACATAAAAGATAAGCATAGTTTTGGTGCACTTTGCTTCTGTGTCTTTGTACAAATTGTTACTTCTCCATCACCTGTGGGATGTTCTCCTTCCTACCCCACATGCTTCCACCAGTTCCCAGCTACCAGTTTCTTCAAGACCTGGCTCAAAGCCTAGTCCTTCCTAGGGGACTTCATTCCTGAGTCCAGACCACTGCAGTTTCCCCCTTATCCAGTGGTCACAAGGCACCCACACAGACTGACAGTTGCCACCTGATCATCATCACCAGTCATCACACTGTTATTGCATACTTGGTATAGGAAAGACTCTATGTCATGTGCTGTGGGGGAGGGAGGGAGAGCTTTGCAGAGGAGGTGGGATTCAAGCAGGGTCTTGAAGGCTGTGTTTTCATTAAAAAGGTGGAAAAGAAGGGGAATAAAATAATGCACAACACTGAAGATCAACTTCTACTCTTCTTGTTATTGGCTATATAATTTTGAGAAAAATCCTTTAATCCCTTTGGAAATCCATTTTCTCATATTTAAGGTGGGAATCTATTATTTTAGATTTAGGGAGGGTGCTTATGAGGATCAATGTGAAAGCCCTATGTATTGGTGAGAATGAATTTCTTTGCAAGTAATATTAATAACTTAATTACTATATAACATGTAGGGAGACTGAGGCAGGAGAATCGCTTGAACCCAGGAGGTGGAGGTTGCAGTGAGCTGAGATTGCACCACTGCACTCCAGCCTGGGTGACAGAGCGATATATATATATATATATATATATATATATATATATAAACACACACACACATATATATATATATATTTAACATGTAACATCTCTTCAGTGGTTAACATATGAAGCTGACAAACCTCTTTTCTCCATGACATCAACTCTCTCATGTGGTGATGTCCACCGTCTTGCTCCTGTTGGTTGAAGATGGGAGAAGTCTTGCATTTATACTTCCTCGTGCAGGGGCCCACAGATGGGTGTTCCGTCATTCCAGTAACTTTACATTGCTTAGTAATTGGCTGGTTTTCTGAAGGAGAAGGGAACTGAATTGTCTCCCCGTCCTCTGCACACGCTTTGTTGTTTTAAGTCTGCACCTTTGCTTGCTGTTGCCCCCACTGCTTGGAATGTGCCATCTTCTCAGCCTCAGCCTGGTCAGCAGTTACTGGGTCAGTAAGAGTCAGCTGAGAACTCACTCTATGAAGTTTCCCTGACCTCATTTTGACCTCCTAGACTGGCTAAGGTTCCCCTTTTCTGTGCTCCCATGCTGTACTGGGCATTGCTGTCTCCAGTGCGCAATGATCACACCATACTACAAAGACCTGCCTCTCTCACTGGGCTCCCCATGCCTTCAAGACCGGCACATAGCACTCACTCATGACATGGTTGTTGAATCAATCAATGGCCTTTCTCCCTTCTCTCCCAGTCCTACTTTTTTTCACTCTGGGCACCACCATTCCTTCTCTCTCATTCTGCATTGTTTATGGCTTGTTAGTCATTAATACAAAGCCATTTCCAGGTCTGGCCATTAGTAATGTCTGGAGGTGTTAATAGTAACACTAGCTCACATCTGAGCACTTACTATTTGGCTGGCACTGTTCTAAGCACTTTGCATGTTTAAACTCCTTTAAATGTTCCTTTGTTGCCACTTTTTTTCTGCTGGGGACTAACCTTGACATGGTGGGGAGAGGTATAGCCATGGGACTATAGCATGGTTTTATTGTCCTATTACGTGTACGTGTAGGACAGTAAATCCTGCAGTGGAATACGAGTTGACTAAGTCTGTCATCACTCAAATATTGGAAGATATGTGGGAAAACACCACCAACAAAAAGTTTTGATATCCTTATGATACAATGACATTACAGTTTTATTTTGTTTTTTCTTTATGTGTAGTTTTAAATCACTGTATTGTGTTTCAGATAATTAAGCCAGAAGAACAAATTGGGATGGACTGTTGTATTTACATTTCAGTTTACTAGAGGTAGCCTTGAAAGAGTTACAAAAATATGAATATCAGTGTGGAAAAAAATAAGGGAGGTTTTCAATTTTTTTTTTTTTCTTCAAAAATGATAAATCGGCAAGGAAGACAGATATGGGAAAATCAGTCATGGGAATTTGTCTTTCAGTGACTCCTTCTTGACTGGGAAGAAAAGCTTTTATTCGATTTAGTTGAGAGCAGTGACAAGGATTATTTTACTTGAGGATGGCAGATTATTTTACCAGCAGCTGGCAGACGAGAAGAATTCCCTGGACAACAAGGAGGGGCAGTATGGTATGGAGGGAACCCGGTTGAGAGGGTCTGGGGTTCAGAGCTCCACGATGCTGCTTACCAGCTCTTAGCCTTCATTACATTGCTTACCTTCCTGGAGGTTCAGTTTCCTTATCCATAAAATGGGGGTCAGGTTGCCAAATTTATCAAATAAGAATCTAGGATGTCCAGTTAAAGCTGAATTTCAGATAATTATTTTTTAGTATAAATATGTCCCATAAAATATTTATGCCCCATGCAGTAACTATGTCCCGTAATGGTACATGGGACATATACTAAAACATTATTTGTTGTTTATCTGAAATTCAAATTTAACTGTGCGTCCTATATTTTTTCTGGCAACCCTAAATGGGGGCAGGGGCAGTGGTGGTGACATGAGTAATTATCTTGTAGGGGTGGTGTGAGGATAAAATAATACCACAGTTAGGTTTTCTCACAGTGTGTAGTCTGTGTGTAGTCAACACATGACTATAAGTAGTGACTGTAACATAACTGTAACTGGTGTATAGTAAAAAACAAGTGATATTATTAGTATAATAGTTATTAATAAAGGTCTTTAAATGACAACTGGTCATATAGGGAACCTTTGGGGAAAAGTTTCTGACTCTAAGCTAAGGGAAGGTAAATTATGATAAGATCTGGGAATGAGATTTAGACTTACACAGTAATAATTTGAGGAAGAGAAAGACTTAGTAAATTAGTTATGTAATTACATAATTAACAACTTGGGAGGTTTTCTTTCAACGTTTATTCCCTAGGGCATCATCTTTAAATTATATTTAGTTTTTGCTAAGTTGACCAGTTTGTGGTTTTAGGTGTTTACTTTCTTTTCTTTTTAAATGTAGGGAAAGCATATTTAACTTCATCTTAAAGAAATTATGTAGCCATATAAAACCGGAGGGTAGGATCTACTGGCAAGGAAAAAAGGGCCTTTACTGCCACCTGGTGGCCATATTCTTTAACTGCAATGTGCCTAAGTGCGGCTGGAAAGGAAAGCGCTGGAAAATCTGCTAAATCCAGAGGGCGCCAAGGCAGTGTCATGACAGTAAGAGCCGTGAACTACTGTGTCCTTTCCCTCAGTTCCCAATCTCTCACAGCTTGAGGCGTGAGAATTAGCAGCTGCCTTTGAGAGGTGGAGGACAGAAAATGGTGAAGTCCATGCCTTCTTCCTTGGTACCGAGTTTCCAAACCTTAAGTGAAGGAGCCTGAGAGGGGAGAAGCTTCAGGTTGAGTAGACTGTTTTTTTTTTTTTCACTTTTTTGTTTGTTTTAAAAAGCCTCTTATTTAATGGCTCAGAGTGGCTAGAAAATCCGTGGTATTGATTAGCTTTCATCTCAAATGCAAGGAGGGACAAGGCAAATCCAGAGAGAGGAGTTGAAAGGACAAAGAAAAAAGAAAAAAAAAAAGCTTTTTACTTGGATTTTGCTGCATGCAGCTCACTCAATAAACATGTTTTAAATGCATAAATATATCATGAGGTAAAAATCGGGGGGAAAGGCAGTGCATTGATGCTGATAGAGGACAGGCAAACTGCATTCCATTTGGACTGCGGTCTCTCACTCCCGCCACCACACACAAACTAAGGTCAAAATCAGGGAGGGAGTCCGGGGTAAAGTTATCAGTAGAGTCAGTTCTAGGAGCCGTAATTTTAAAAAGTCTTAAAAAGCCCATAAGTCCATTATAGCAGGGACATAAAGCAGTCCTGGCCTCCGGACCCTGACCCAGCCATGGCAAGCAGGACTGCTTCCTTTTATTCTCCCTTGTGTCCTCATGGGTCTTTCCAAGCCCTGCAGGGAAGGATGGAAGCTGGTTCCATCAGTGCCTCTCCCCCAGCTTCTACCTTCCTCTCTCTTCTGTGACCTCTCAGTTTTCCTTCTCTGTACCCCAAATCATGCCTGTCTTAGTCCGTCGTCTGTTGCTGTAACAGAATACTACAGACTGGATCATTTATAAAGACAAGAAATGTATTGTTTACAGTTCTGGAGGCTAGGAAGTCCAAGCACATGGTGCTGACATTTGATGAAGGCCCTCTTGCTGCGTCCTCACACGGCTCAGGTCACTCTAACTCTTCTTGTAAAGCTACCAGTCCCACCGTGGGGGCCACACACTCATGACCTTATTTAATCCTAATTACCTCCCAAAGGCCCTACCTCCAAATGTCATCAATATGTGAATTTGGGAATTAAGTTTCCAGCACATGAAATTTGGGGGACACATTCAAACCATAGCAATGCTTAACCTTAGAATACCGCCTGGCATGTGCCCAGGCTTTTACAGCCACTACCTCTGGACATGTTAGGATCTCTATTTACACATAAGGCTTGCCATGGCCATTACACATCTGTGAGTCAGTGTAGGGTCCTGGTGGAAGCCCGGGTCTTGGAGTCCCTCCATTGTGCTTGCTACCCTGGCTCTCCACCTTCAATTTTTGGCTTCTTATTTTGAACTATGATGATATTCTTGTTGTTGATTTTTTTTTTTTTTTTTTTTTTTTTTTTAGTATGAAAGTTTTCAAGACGCCTACAAGTGGAAAATGCACTCCTACCAGCCACATCAAGCTTTGCCAGATTCCTTACAGCTGTGTGCAGTGAAATGACTAATGAAAGAGCCCTCTGCTGCTGGTGGAACTTTCACATATGGCACTGCTGTGCCACTCAGCAGGACCTGACCCTGGTATTTACATATTGGATGTCACCCCAAAAGCCCCTGACACGGGGGTTTCCGGGATGTAATAAGAATGCCACTCTGGGCTTTGGAAGGTGCACCGTATGCACACCCATACTATAGGGCAGGGATTAGCATTTCAGACCCCCATTCCTCCCTCAACAAGCAAGTGCTTTTCTCTAGGGAGGACGTTCAGATTCATTCATAGATCCATTGGTGCCATGGGCAGCTCAGTAACAGTAGCTCTGCTGCCTACCAGCTGCTGGTGGAGGTGTTGAGAATACCTAGATGAGGAAGTCAGGGCCCCTGCGTGCTTGAGCAGAGCTGGATGCCTGGCATGGCAATGGACACAAACCCTTGGATAATTTCCATCCTTGGCGGTGTGTTCTGTAGCATAGGTGTGAAGTGGGTGCTCTGCGAGCTTGGAAGAGGGGCTCTTAACTTATGGGTGGCCAGGGAAGGCTTCCTGGAGCTCAGATGACTGAGTGGAGTCTTCAACATTAAAAAATAAAAAGTGCTCCCCCCTACTCCCAGTTAAAAAGGTAATACACCTAATTGAAATAATTTAAACTTTACAGAAATGTGTTCCTTTAAAGTTCAGAGAGTAAAGAGGAAGTAATAAAGCTCAAATCATAGAATGTCTAATTAACTGCAGCCTGTAACTTTCTTCCTGAAAAGGGAGTGGTGTGTGTGCGTGTGTGAGTGTGTGTAGGTGAATCTGTAAAGGATGGAGTAGTACTAAAAAGAGGGAGGTGAAGACGGAGGTGAGATCTCATCTTTGTGCCCTGAACCTCTTTGTTATAATGGCAGGCAAGGAGAGAAATCAATACTCATCCTCTCTGGGACTCTGGCTTTTTCAAACTTGGTTTGCCAGGTTTTGGTCTTGGTTGTTGATGGCTTGTAACTTCAGAGTCTCATTGCTGGCCACGCTTCCAAGTGGTTTATTAAGAAGTTTTCCTAAACAAAATTGATCTCTCCCTAAAAAAGTTATAGGTCTAGCTGTGAGATGTTAACAATATTTAGCCTGCTACAATGCCAATAAGAGTTCCCATTTACTGAAGACTTTCTTTGTACCAGCTGTGTGCTAAGAGCGTTATATTTGTTACCTCATAACATCAACCCTCACACCAACCTTACGAAGCAGGCATTTCATTATTCCTACATCCCAGATAAGGAAGCTAGGATTATTACTGCTGCACCCACATAGCTGATAATCAGTGGGGCTTGGTCCCAAACCCAGGTCTCTGACTCCTAGGTCTATGGTTACGAACGTACCATTCCTGTGCAGTATTTCTCAAACATATTTGGCTACAGGAACATTTTCAAAAGTGAACACCACTTACTTCTTAGTACTGTTATTAGCATTTCATGGAACACGATTTGGGAAATACTGCCCCAGGAAAATACTGCCCTGTCTTTAAAATAGTGATAATAATACAATCTCCATATTGCGATGATTAAAAGACATTTCAGGAAATGGGTGCTGAGGATACTTACTTTCCACCAGGAATGTGTGTGTGCTTTAAAAATAACATTCGTGGCCAGGCACAGTGGCTCACGCCTGTAATCCCAGCACTTTGTGAGGCCGAGGCAGGTGGATCGCGTGAGTCCAGAAGTTTGAGATCAGCCTGGGCAACATGGTGAAACCCTGTCTCTACTAAAAATACAAAAATTACTCGGGTATGGTGGTGCATGTCTGTGGTCCCAGCAATTCGGGAGGCTGAGGTGGGAGGATCGCTGGAGTCTGGGAGGTGGAGGTTGCAGTGAGCCAAGATGACATCACCGTACTCCGGCCTGGGCAACGGAGTGAGACCTTGTCTCTCTCTAAATAATAATAATAATAATAATAATAATAATAATAATAATAGTATAACATTTGTAATGTCCTCAGTGAAAGGAAGCAGTGTTTTGGCCAGGATAATAATGAAGATATTGTTACTGGGCTGGAAGACCCTTGGGCCCTGTGGGGGAGGACCTTGTAAGCTGCCACTGCCTCCCTTCCACAGGTGCCCCTTTGGTCCCCTTCCCTCCCCTCTGCCCTCTGGTTCTCTCTATCATCCCTCTGTAGTGCTCGTCTTTGTTCAGGATGATGCTCTGTTTGCCTGCCTCTGGGCAGGGGCCTTGCTCTAAACCACGCTGCTGCCTACTCAGGCCAGCCCAGGATGTCTGCTTTGCAAATTTGGACTGTTCTGAGCCCCAGCTGTAGGCCAGGGGTCTGTGACATATTGGGCAGACCACCCACAGCCCAGCTGCTGCCATTGCTCAGCCTACATATTCCCAGAGAGCACGTCATCACCCACAACATCTCACTGACAGACCCTGCCTTTAGAGACAAGGACCAACCTAGGTGAGCCTGGTTGGCTCCACCTCCCTGGACATTGATTTGGACAGCTCACCGACTCCCAAAGGAGCCAGTCTTTGGGCCTGGTTGGCTCCCAACCTACTCCCTGCCCCATTGGTTTGCTACAGGGGCCTGGCAGTCCCAAATCATGACATTCCTTTTCTTCCATGCACTGGTTTTGCCCAGCTGTCCTTTTTTCTTTGATAATTTCATCAGTCCCACAGATATGCACATTTGGGCAAAAATACTAGGAACAAAACAGACAAACAAAAACAGGCCCTCAACTCAGCTCCTGAAGACCAGTTAGAAAGAGCATTTGCATTCTTCTCAGTAAATATCAAGCACACTAAAAAAGAAAACAAATTATTTCACTTACGTTCTCACTTGCACCTGTGAGGGAGCCATTGTTACTGTCATTTCATGCATGGAAAGGCGGGGGGTCACAGAGGTCAGCTGATTTGCCTAACGTTGCAGAGTTGAGAGCACCAAAGTCAGGACCAGAATAATTATCCAGTGTTTGTCCCTCTGCCAAGTGCTGCCCCTTGGACTTGGGGCCCTCAGGCCATCAAGACTGGGGCCCTTTGCTCCTGGAGTGTCCCAAATTGATAGCGTAAGGCTGGTTCCGATCGAGTCTGACATGCTGCTAGGAACCCTCCGTTTTCTTCCCTTTATTCTCTTCCATCTTCCTTTTCCTAAGACTCATCCCACTGTCCATTCTTCAGAGGCTTCAAGGTGCTCTTTGACTTTTCTCTGTAGCTAGGCCATGGGACTTTTAGGTGTCACCCACCGTCCCACCCACTCACTTGCCTCTTGACAGTACACCAGCTGAAGCACAACTATGTGTTAGGGAGATATGTAAGGAGAAATGTGAGATGTGGTCTTTCCCCTAATAAAGTGTTAAAGAAAAATTATCCTGATATCTGTGAAAAACAGCAATGAAGACTACTCAAGACTGTTGCAATAAGGGTCAAGATTATTGCAATAGGTGAGAGGATTGAAACCCAAGTATATCAGGGATAAGGGAGGATTTATAGCCAATGAGCAGGGTGGGGGAGTGGATGGAAAATTACCTAGAGGAACTTGATTAGGTGGAGGAAGAGGAGCTTGATTGGATGTTGAGGGTGAGAGAATCTCAGTAAATGGACTTAACAAGATTCATTGCTAAAACTGGGCTCAGCAGGTCAAGGGCAAGGCCTAGTTGAGAAGAGGGCTTAAGGGAACCTGACTAAAGTTTGGTCAAGGAGGGAGTCTTTGTCAGCACTCACAAAGTCTTGTGAGAGTCAGGACCCAAACGCAGGACCCAAGGTGCTATGAGGCAGTGATGTGCCAGCCATGGCATGACTGGAGCTTGGAGAGGAGCCAGTGGATATATCTGGGTTATTCCATCCCCTGGCTTCAGGGCTGACTGGCAGACAGTCACACTGGCTTCATCTCAGGTTCATTCCTTTCTCACTGCTCTGTGATATACCATACTCTTCTTCTACTTCATACTTTGAAGCTTGAATTTCCAGGATTTGATAAGAAAGGCTGAAAACCATAAGCAGACTGAAAAGTGCCAAGGCTTTATCTAGACCTTGGACAAGAACTTCAACCTCATGTTTCTTGTTTGCAATATTGGGACAATACTTGTTACAGATTGAATCGCATCCCCCAAGAATTCATTTATTGACTTAACCTGCAGTGTGACTGTATTTGGAAACAGGGCCTCTAAGAAGGTTAACAGTTAAATGAGATCATAGAAGGTGGGGCCCTAATCTGATAGAACTGGTGTCCTTGTAAGAAGAGGAAGAGATACCAGAGATCTTTTCCTCTTGCACACACAGAGGAAAGGCCATGCAAAGACACAGTGAGAAGGTGGCCGTCTGCAAGCTGGGAAGGGAGGTTTTACCAGAAACAACATTTTCTGGCATGTTGACCTTAGACTTCTTGCCTCCAGAACTGTGAGAAAATAAAAATGTCTGTGGTTTAAGCCCTCCAGTCTGTGGTATTTGTGATGGCAGCCTGAGCACACTAGTGCAATACCTATCCTGTGGGTTTATGATGAGAACTAAACATAAGGTAAGTTGAGGACCTAACTGCAATTCACACATATTGGCTTGTCTCTCTTTCCTCCTGTCATGTGATTTGTGGGGTGTTAAGGGTCTTTTGCCAGCAGACACCTTCCTTGTGAGCGACCATATGATGGTGTGAAAAATTCACACGGTAGAAGCATTCTTTTGGATTCAGGCTTTGCTTCTCTGTGTTGCAAGGAACAGAACCTTCACAGATTAGTATAAACTAAAAGGGGGAATTTTCTGAAAGCATGTTATTATCAGTTAGGATTCCTGGTTCCAAGCCATGTACATGAATTGGCTGGGTTAGGCCAAAAAGGAACTATTGAAAGGATATAGACTGGGGCACAGGATTGGAGGGAAGGATGGAGGATCAGACGTGGAGCCTGCCAGCAAAAGGGCCAAGCATCACACCTTAGAATGGGGCGTGAGGACTGCAAGGCTATGCTGCTGGGCGCCGTCTGCTGTTGCTCGCTCCTCTGACCCCGTGAACACGGGCCTGCTCTGACATTGCTGGACTAGACTCTTCTATGACCAAGTCCTCCACACCGATGTGCCCTGTGGTCTCTGTGGTTCTGGAGCCTGCTGTCTCCTTGGCTGAGCTTAGATCATGAACA